CTTATAGCTAAAACTACCACCTCTTACGATAACGAGATCCGTTACCGTAAGTATAACGCCTCTTGGTTCGCGAATATCGCGAGAAAGCTAGGAATAAAAGCTGGTACGATTCTCAGGCGTTTAAATTGAAATGAATAATGTGTGCGATTGCAGAGAAAGTTCTGTTGCCACACATTCTTGTATATAAATACATAAGTAGAATGATTTACCTTCCTCTCGGCACAAAAAAATATGACATAATATTAATATATCACCGAATATGTAAACTTTTCGCCTCTTCCCCGCCTTCTTCCCTTCGCGAAATAACTAACACTAACACTGATAAAGTCCGAAGATATTACAAGCAAGCTTTTAAAACGGTAAAACGCGCACACGTCGTGCGTCCGTGAGGAATGCGGCGTGTGCAAACAATAATATTTTCGTCGCGCGTTATCGCCGCGCGATTATTTTTTTTCGCGTTATCGGTTGCCCGCCAGTTCACACCTCTTCTTACGCTCATTTTTACCTGCCGGCCTGCGCGTATCGAGCCGGCGTCACTTGTGTCGCGCGCAGGAACGCGCGCAATCGATTTATCTGCGCGATAATTAATGATTACGATGGGGCGCGGCGTATTCCGCGGTCCGCCGCTACTGGTGCAGATAATCATGTCCGATAAATGCGCTTCTCGTTTGCTTTTTGCACGGAATAAATCAATGGAAAAATGGCCGCGCGCGGCGACGCGTTCATGTGGTATCATTTTAACGGGTGATATTCACCGGCAGCCTCAATCGCTCGATATTAATCAATAACTCGAAGCAATCCGCGGATCGTTCTTTATGTGATCGCCTGTCGGACAAATCATACATTAGTAATTTTTTTTCGTAGTTAATGGAGCGTATCAATTTTTAAATCGGTCATCTCACGTAATAATAAATCGTTTTAGATATATCGGTTGTTATGTGCTTATCGTGTCCCGATTCGATCCTCGCTCGACTGATGAGCGGCTCATTATCACAGGCAAATAGTAATTTCCCGCAAAATCTATGAGAAATTTAAAATTATTAGAATGTTCAACATTTGGAAAACAAAATAAACAATATTTTGTTAGTAAATTAATTAATAAATGTTAATACACATCCGTTCGCGTGAATTTAATTTACGAGCGACGCAATTTTGCAATGAAAATGTAACCAGATCGCGTTTGCGCTGAATTTCGGATCGAATTCCCAGCGATGTTCTACCATCGTGAAAAAATATGGGAGAGACGCGCGATTTTTGGGGCTCGCAAAAAGCACAGACCGGTTCAGAGGCGGAGGTTCTGCCCGATCAGATGGCGGCGATTTGCATGCGGCCTTTTGGCTCCAGGTGTCCCGGGATTTGCATACGAAAGGGTGGCGCTCACAGATTTCTCCCTTCTCTCTCGCAGTTCTCTCTCTTTCTCTCTCTCTCACTCCTTCTCGCTTTTAACCCCCTGGCATCCGCGCATTTATGGGTTACCGGCTCAGCGTGTCGCGTCGTTAACTCGACGTTAAAGTTTCGTTAACGCCGCGCGCTTTAACTCCCAAAGCTTCACGGAACTCCCGATCGAATCCAATTACTATCAGTGATCGCGCGATAACCGTTGCGGGTTACTCGCAAAACATACTCATGATTGGCTGTACGCGGTATGCATGATAACGTGTGTGTATATATATATATATATATTTCCCGATGTACGAATCAAGGGACAAAATCTTTCCTGTTATCGCAAAAAACGCGACGCGCTCAGAGTGGTCCAAATTATCTGACAGAAAGAATTCCGGCAATTACCAACTTTACGAGCATCGCGCTTCTTTTTCGAGCCCGACAATTTTGCATGTCGGCATTCGGTACGCAAATCTTCCGTTAGCCATATTAATTCATAAAGTGTCTCGTCACTTAAACGATCGCCGTCTGGCGATTTTCGTGTTCGCCATTTTGTCCGATGTAGCGCGATAACGCAGCTCTAAAAGAAGGAAGACAAGCTAACGAACCGTTGTCCTCGTCCCCGCTGTACAGCCTAATTATTTTGCTCGTTAACGACCTCGAGACCTTAATTGGGGGACGTGACGATCAGCGCCATAGGCCTCCCTCTTCCTCGTATATGTGCGGGTACACGGTTAACCTGAGAATATCGATTCTAGACACCACCGTGCCTTGTGGTTTGGAACATGCCATAACGTGTGGCGAATAATAATTATGCGCCGCAACAGTTGTTTGTCAGTCAAGATTGCATTGGTCTAATCTGCCTAAACGATTATTGTGCGTAGAATAGTCACGCGAAATTAAAATACAATGATTGCCTGTAATACGATTCTAAGTAAACAACCATTCCTCGATCTCCAGCTAAATTTTTATATATAATATCTACAAATAAATGTTTAAAAAGTCTAAAATTATTTTTGTATAATAATTAACAGAAACTTTGCCGACATTAATAACTTTTCCTAGAACTATCAATGTCTTCTATGAGTCAATCAAAGAAGAGCTGGGGACCAAATGGCAATACGAATTTGCTAGAAACAGTTCGAAGTTGGAAAAGTTTGGCTTTCCTTCGCAATTATTGATCTGATAATGGTCGCGGGGCAACCGGTGTACACGCTCTGACTATTTAAGTTCGTTACGTGCACGAAATGCATTTTCGAGTTTCTACCGCGGCACAAACTTTTTCGGCGAGAATGCATTCGATGTCAGCTTAAATAATTAAAACTACCGTCTACGTGCGTGCGATAAGCTCCTTGTTACTTTGTCGATCGGCAAGCGATCGTGCGGGAACGTGATATTTACGAACAAGATTAAAAAGGTAAAAGTGGAAAGATATGAGTTCTAATGGCGACTGTTTTACAAAATTCACGATTATAATAAACAAACATAACGTATATCATGTTATCAAAATTCCTAACATTCACCAAATAAAAAATGGTCAATTTTCATTCAAACTTTCCAAGATTAAATGTCTTATATTTACGCGGTACTTATAAATCGTTGAGAAATATCTAGTAAATCAGAGATCTCGGTTTATATATATATAAAAAAAAAACTCCACAAAAATACTATCTGCCTGAAATCCCCCACACGATTCTTTATTATTGTTCCTTATATCTGGAAATTTTATCTGCGATCCTACCGGAATGCATGAACTATAAATTATAGTGTCTGTATGTAGCCATAAACATTACTTAACTGCACGATGTGTGCGCGTTGCACTGCATTTGCATAAGTTCGCGTGAAACGCCTCGCGATGTCGTCGCTCTTTCTTCTCGTTTTTCTCCCTATATCCCTTCTCTTCTTCCCTCCCACTGGCGTTCATCACCATTGCGTGCGCCCTACGACATGACGCTCAGGAATTTTTTTCAATGGTGTCCCATTGCGAGAGGGTTCGTTAAATTTCACGGAGAAATACGGTCGGTTCCGCCGCGTGGTTCGTATAATCGTACGGACCTTAAAATTTTTTTTTCCAAATAAGGATGTATCTTAAAGATCCTTATTGAAGTCTTTATTTTTATTAGCCATACTCATTTCCGTAAAAACCGGGTGATTATTTTTGCGTATCATGCGAGGCAATTTCATTCCTCGTTATATACTTGCTAAATCGCATAATTCGTTATACTGCATGTATCGTTATTCGTGATAAATATGCTGATAATTTACAGTTTATGACATAATGCGATAATAATAAAATTAAAATAATATAATTGCATTACTTTAAAATTATTTGAGTATTTCAATAGAAAAGTTATATATGTTTGAAAAGATAAAAAATATTTATAGTTATGTTCGAAAATTAAATAATGTATAGAATTTTCTATTATTTCATATAAATTACAGAAATAATTATTCAATAGAATAATAGTTCAATATTCTATTCATTAAATGAATTAATCGTAATTAATCCTGTTTTGCAATATCCTGTTTTGTGATCTATTTTACATGGACATAGTCGCCTTGCAAATTACATTACTTGAATGTCGAAAACAAATACGAATTGTATCTACATAATTATGCATAGCTTTGATTCATTATTAATTATTATTTCGCGTAATGGTCGATTCCGGTGCTGTCTTGATATTCAAAAAGCACCGTGTGCAGTGCTTATAAATCGCGGTATCGAGACATGAAGTTGGTTCATTGAGTCATTGGCCCTGGCTTCCTGGCGATAAAGTCAAACGTAAATCGTTATCTTTATTGTGCCACAGTATTCTTTATGCGACGCGCCTGCAAGCGTTTCGAAATCGACTCTCGTCGAGAAGACCCTTGCCACTCTTTATCTTCCGGCTTGCCGAACATAACGAAGACGTCTCTTTCTCTCGGAGAAAAAAAAAAGAACGACGCGACAACAATGAACTGACTCGTCTCTCCTTCGGGAGCTACTCCGATCAACAAGCGTTCTCTTTTTCTCGCTCTTCATTTCTCTCGCATTTGCTCATCTTTCTGGTTAAATATTTTTCATGCGATCACTTCAAAACTGATTTTAATATTATCTAAATCATCAGGATATTATTTCCTTCAATAAATATGCCATGCATCGAAAACGATGGTCTTCAACGTCATAAATATCTACTTTCTTCTAATAAGAGCAACGCGGATATAAATAATATTGAATGAACTCAGCGGTTCGTAAACGTGACAGTGCAACCATGCAAGCAACATATATAATTAATGAAAATTGTTCAACTGGCTTAATGACTTTAATTAAAGGCATTTCTGCGATGTCTCGCGCGAGCTCCATAATTCTTTTTTTTCAATCGATTTTGTAACGACCATATAGTGGTCGACATTAATATGCCGTGTGAGAAATACAGCGTAAAAAAAGACAGCGTATGCTGACATGGGACAAATTATTAAGAGCGCTATATTTATCATCTTTCACCAAAGATTGTAACGATAGGCTATGATAAGTTAACGATCGTATGGATATCAGGGATGAATATCGATTAAAATTAAATCGCAGTTAATTAATATGTTCGCGGGAAAGAACGTAATAAACTTACGCGTTCTACACGTTACGGAACAAGCATATTTATTAAAATAATGATGTAACCAATTAACGTATACGCGATAAAGTATACTAGCATAAATCATCTTTTAATAAAGCTGATATTTTATACAATATTATGCATAATTAGTAAAGGTTCCAATTATGATAGTTTTTGTGGATTGAATTTATAATGAGATACGAGAATTCTTCGTTAATTATATTAATTGATAAATATATTCAGATATATATTATATGACGTATTACTCTTTCAAAATTTTAATTACAAAACGCTATAATTAATTTCCACCATTTATAATCAAGGATTCCATCCATATAACAAAAAATAAAACCGGCGAACGATGGTTTGAGATCGACTAGAATATTTCATATTATCGCGACAGCTCGGAGAAGACGAAAGAAAACCGATTTGATGCGAGGCAGCGACGTTATTACGGTACATCGATGCCGAGGGGGCACGCGAAGCTGAAGTCGAGGTTATCGTTTGTTTTTCCGCGGGCCCTACTCTCTTCAGAGATTTCTCTCCTTGAAACCCTTTGCGCGCACAAGAGAAACGCCGCTCTGAGCCCTGCCATGTGTTTCGAATGAATTTACATGACGTCCCACCGTGTACCTACGTCACTTTTTGCCGTTGTACGTATGTGTGCGTATGCGCGCGGGCCGGCCAGCATGTGGGCAGAGATTCCCTGCAGCCGGCAGATGTTGTGGTCCATCTTCCCGTGGCCCCCTCGAGATACGAAACTCGGTATGATTATACCCTATCTGCCCACCGAGACAGGGCCGTATCGTCTTGTCGGATTCTTCATTCGTCTCGATTCAATCTAGTTTCAATGACACGACGTATCTTTCTAAGCTCCGGCAACGTGTTGCAACTTTGCAATGTATATATATTTGATAAGACGTAATAACATTTATGGGTCATAAAAAATTTAAACTTTATATTTCGTAAAGATAGGCGCTAAAATAAAGAAACATCAAATACCGAAATCTTTGCTAAAAACTAAAGCTCCTGAGAATAGTCGAGTAATGTTTCACAAGCGCGCGCGCGCGTCATTCGTTTTCATAAAAGTATTAACTGTTGTTCGGTGCGAAACGGCACATTCACCATAGACTTTTTATAGTATTTTATTAAAACGTTATTGCGTTATAGCTTACGGCTTAACGGTCCTCCAAGTATCTTACCAATCGGTGCCACTGAAGCAGCTGCAATCTTCTTTCGCGGCTTCGAATCTAAAACAAGACGAGAAGAATGGATTAATATTCTGATGGCCATGTCATTTCGATTGAAACAGATGTTAAACTTTCACAATTTAATAATAGGGTACATCTGGGTTATCAAAAGTTCGACGAATAGCTCTTGTACGTGAAAGTAAATAACAAATTATTACCGATATAATTTGCCACAATTTCTTTTTTTCTCTACGGAATATAATTTTTCGATAACTGTGCAATTAGCATATTTCAGTCATATTCGAATTATCTTAATAAAAGAAGCAAAAATAAAATTAGAAGTCATTTGATTGTCTAAAATAAGATATTGTAATTTAAAATATTGAAATATTCATTCGATCGTAATTCAAGTTAGTTCTTTGAAATCGAATTACGTCGATTGGAATTGTTCCGATTTTTGGTATGAATTCGCATAGCAATTTTTATACACAACTTTCCACAGATCCCTTTCAATGACCCTCCGCAGTCAACTCAGATATTATTCGGATATTTTTTTTCAAGGTGAAGGAAAAATATGCTTGCTCTCAACGTACGGCGGTACTTTATAATAGTAATCAGTACAATGAATGTGTTGTCGATGCTATTTATTTCTTAAGTCACGAGAGATTTTATGGTATGTAAGTACAAGGACTTTTTTGTACCGACAAATGAATGAATAATTTAATAGGGAAGGGAATCGTATGCATGTGTATGTATCACTGTACTCTATAACGGTATCACGGTATATATAATTATAATCCATATACGTCGCATGTTTCAACCATTCACTGTTGCTCAATATCGATATTTAATGATATCGTGAATATTTTTCAAAATCAATGTGCTCGCTAATTAGATATAATTCAGTGAAAAATTAGCAAGATAAAAAATTAAGTTTTTTCTCCAGAATTTTTCAAGATTATTTTTAGAAGAAACGGAAACCGTATCTGTCACCGATCGTCGAACGTACTGACTGAGAAGTCTGAACGAAATATTACCGCACGAGATATTATCCGATAATGCTTTTGGTCGAAAGTCGATTTCAGACCAAAACTCAATTTCATGCTCGGTCCATGGCGCGCCTTCCTTCGTCCTTAACGCATTACGTATTCCAGCTTGCCCCGCCTTCTCATATTATTGTTGCATCGTATCTTTTCTTTCTTTTGTTTTTTAATTTTTCAAACTGGTAACGTCTTCGCAGTTAGGTGATTGAGCACCACGGCAAGCCGGGTGTTCATTATAAATCGCATCAACAGGAGGAGGCAAAACGAGGAGAAAAGGCGTGAGGCAAAAGAAGGAAGGGCACTGGCCACAGATTATTCCATGTAATATCTCCTTCGCAGTCCAATGACCGTACCAAATTTCGTGACAGTTTAGTCTCCGTCCATTTAGTTTCCGATATAGTACACATTCTAACTTGAGAATATCTTCTTGTACTTAGCGAATCGCACTTCCTTTATCGTAATCTTGTTCTAATGTTACGACGATGCAAATTTCGGTCTATTTCGATAAACTCGCCTTACTATTTTATATAGTATAATTTTATTTTAGTTTAGACAGTACGAACAAAAATGAGTATTTTTATAATCGTGAATAAGTTTATTTTATAATTTTAAAAAACTGTTTCTTAAAAGATTTATTATTTTTCACTTTAATAAATTCTTTATGTTCTCATTTTTGTTATAACATTACTTTGCATTAGTTTTAATCCCGCCAACGTTTCTCTTCGAATAAATATTATTAGGACTGTTGCGCTATAAATTATTCTATAATAACGCAGGCAGATTAACGTCAAGTAAACCTACAAGGAAAGATTTGCTGCTACCTAGAATAGAAGTCAAAAGACACACAGATGGCTCAGTTTAGTTCTTAACCCTTCGACACGAAAATTCGGTCGTCCTTTCGCGGTAGAATGAAGGGGGTATGAAACCTATTAATATTCTTTGGGAACCCTGTGAAAAAAACTTCTGAGGGGACTTTTCCTTCATCTATTAACATAAAACGACCATCACGTAGTTTCTCACGAAATTCTTGGCGGCAACATTTTACATTTTGCTTAAGAATTCATCACACATTATCGACAAAATATTTGCGAATAAAAAAAAATAATTATAAAATATACACACATATAAATAAATGTTGAAACTGCGATATTTGTTTATTTGTTCTTCAACTTTGATTGATTTTTTCCCATGTAGATATATATATATACAGTGAGAGTTAAATAATATAAAATGGCAAGAAATAATTTATAAATATGTAGTCACATGATATGCTAAACTGATACATTGGTGCAATATTTTGCATATGCGTAGTTTCCATCAAAGAAAGTTTTCCACGCAAACCCAGATGGTTATCCAAGCTCTTTTGCATCCTCGTGTTCACCCCTCGGTATAGACGAGAGATTTTCATAAAATTCCTATAAATAAGCGCAGCCCATCCTTATTTGTGCACAATATTTATACGCTACGCATGACCTGAAACGGGATCGTACGTCCCTTCTGAAAGTATCGCGCTATCGGCTAGGTATACCTAGAAAATCGAAGGGTGAAGAAGGTAGAATAGATAACACCTCTCACACACCTGTAAAGGATCAATACCTACGACACCGATCCTTTCTCCCATGCAGCATTGATCGGAAACAAAATTCTTTTCCAAAAACTCTGCCGAATAATATTAGGCCCCGTCAAAATATGCGGCGGGAAAAACGCGTCGCGACCTTTAGACTTGCAGTATAACACTTTTCGTCGAGACAAATCAATTTTTAGTGAAATGAAAAAAAAAATGATGTAAATTTTGAAATATCGGTCGTTACTGAGCAACATTACTACAGATTTAATAACTAACATTGACTTGTGTTTTATGTAACATAACGATGATGCAACGTAACGATGGTTATGTAAAATACCAACAAGTGTTCGCGCGAATAACGCTGCTCTCTTAACTAATTGACGTCGCTATCTTGGAAACAGGAGAGGTTGAACTGTAATAGATACCAGGAGAACCGAGATCGTAAAGGAGGCAGGAAATTATCGTACACGTCAGCGAGTTTATTCTAACATTCTTGATTCTACTGCTGCAAAAGTGAGATGAGAAATAGAGAATTTAGTTTCTGCGCAATTTCTCTTTGCCTTTACACCAGCGAGTGTCTGTTTTTGTTCTGAATTATTTTGATATGAAACAAGGCATTTTATTATGTTTGCTGGCATTTTTTCCAAAGCAAGTTTCCAGCAGATTTAATTGCTCAATTTTGTCGCATAATTATATTAGTTAAAATACCATCATTGGATAACAAATTTATTACGCTCTGCGCATAATCCGATTAATATTGAGTGATAATAAAAAAATAGATAAATGTGTATAAGCGTATAATCAATTACGCTACAACAACGTAGCGCGCTCAAGAAATTACTATGGATCGTCCTGGAAACTTGTTAAATTTAATGGATAAAGGTCGATCTTGAAGAAAGACAAGAAAGTCACGTAAAACATTTTTAAAAGAGATGATTTTTCGAGCTCTCGAAGTATAGATGCTACGGTAAAAAAAGTCGCGTGACGAATCGGTTAGAAAGGAAGGGGGTAGGCGTCGGTGGTGGCGGAACCCCATCGTCGTGAAATCGACGAGCAAATACTTAAGGCGTAACCTCGTTACGCTAGCAGCCAGTGGAAAAGCGAGGAAAATCCTCTCTGAACCCGCCTTTAGTGGCGGCGATGCGGAAAACTCTCTTCCGGTCGTTCGGCGTCCGTTCGACTGTTCGAAATGCAATAGGAACACGTCGGTGCGCGCCCGTAAAAATGAGTGCACCGGATACACGTACGGGCGAGAAAATATCGAAGGACTCACGAAGGATTCTTTATAATTTAGAAATGCTACATTCGCGAATCGTCTTGCAAAATTTCATCCGTTTGTGTCTATCAATTTTTTCGAAAAAATCTGTAACAAGATTTTCCAATTTCTACATATAAATATTATATTTTGCAAAATTAGTTTTACAGGAACTGTAATGAAGAGAGAAATCTCACAACGACTGATATTTCATGACAGATAATAATCATTGATATCGAAAAGATTAACTTTATGTTTATTCTCGAATATTAAAACGTAAATTTCGGCGCAGATATTGTCGCGAAATATTTTCTAAATAAAATGCAATTGACATGGCAATTCGTTGCGTTGGTTTCGTGCTGCGATGATATACGCGTCGCATTGTTTCTGCTTAATCTGCAGTTTTCTGCAACACACAGCCACGTAACACAAATCGTTACTGGGTACGAGAAATCGCTCTTTTCGAAGCAACGGTTAATGACGGGAAAGTTTGAAAACGGACGACCGACATGATGTAAGCCGAAGTGCGGGAAAGCGGAACGGGGGTAACGGCAAGACACGAGTTTCCGAGGCGAACTCGGCGCATAATGCGCTCGCGTACACCCTGTCTTGCGCTAATTACACTAACTCGAGCTAAAACGGACTAAGTAACGATATAAACGGGTCTCCCACCTCGCGCAAACACAGACACGTAAGGTAATTACCTAATTCGGCCATGCGTAATTGCCGGTGATTAAAGTGTCGCTTTCGTGGCGCGCCAGAAACGACGTGACATTTCACCGACAGCTGCAGCCGATACGGATATCTCGTTTCTTCCATCGCTGATCCCTAACTCACGAAGTTTAGATTAGGATGCGAGGAAAATCGTGCCGTGTGGTCGAACGAACACCCCGCGCGCGCATACAATTATCTTTAGACTTCCACACCGGCTATCTTCGCAACGTCAACGTCGCGAAGCGCGCAAAAACAATACGATTAAGAAGATATACTTTTGGCGCGTATTTGTTATTCCGATAATTGTGTGATATCGAATAACCTGTTAGAAAGTATTTGATTGAACTGGCTAAAAATATTAGCGGCGATAAATAAAACAACCTTGCTATCGACGGCAGCCGCCGCTGATCGCGCTTGAAAAAACAATTGGTTTACAGAGCGTAGCCGCGAAATAATTCTGACACTGACGCGTGGTGAGCGCGTCGAGTAAATTTAACGAAAAGAGAGCGCGACTCGTCGATGCGCAGCACAATAGCGATCTTCATCGAGGTAGGGCTTTATATACAAGGTAAGGACCGCAGTACTGCGGAGCGCTCTCCAGTTTCGTAAGATCATTTTTTCTCGACGGCAGGAACGAGTTTGAGGTCGGGACTAGGGAGAAAGAGAGAGAGAGAGAGAGAGAGAGAGAGAGAGAGAGAGCGAGAGCGAGCGAGGGATTTAGAATAAATCAAGTGGAAGGGCTGTGCGAGTCCGCGAGTAGAAGCATTCGGGCCCGGCTTTGTACGGGGCCGCTGCGCGAGGAGGTCCTGAGAGAGAAGAAAAAGGACGTAGGGCGGGAGGGAAATCATGCGGAGGAGAGCATAAGAAAGAGAACGCATGAGCGAAGCGAGCGAGCCACGTTGCAGGAGCAACGACTGAAGATATCAATCAACGGGCGCATTGTGCTCAAGGATAATTTGACGCGCGGCTGAAAGGGCCAGATCTCAAATTCCACGATCGGATAATGGCCTCTAAGACCCAAAGAAGGGAGGGGCCCCCGAGGGTATGTACCAAACCGCAGTTTATACGGACAGTTTTCGGAGCTGCTAGAGGGACCATCTCTACGATTGTCTTCTAGATGAAACCTTTGTTTCTTATGAAATATATTATCCGATTTCTCAACAAGTCGTTTTCAAAAACAAAACATCCAACACAGTGCGATATAATTATATTTTATTTTTTCAACTAAATCAAAGCCTCTTATCCGCGCGTAAAAATATCTTTTTCTTCATCTAGACGATTTTTTAACTTCAATTTATCAGCGCGAATAAATCTAAGTTCTTACTTAAAGTCTTAATAAAAAGGAAAAATTGTTCGTGCGCGCGTAAATCACTATAATTTCTACTGCGCAGTATCACGCTTTCCGAGATATCGACGCGACTGAACGCGGCGAGTGTCCGACGGCTGCGAGCGAGATGGCACCTAGATCCTTGACAAAGCGATCCTCTCTATCGCGAGGCAATTGACATTTCCTGTCACTTGTCGCTCACTCCGAAGTCGAAGTTTCTTGCTGAATCGTATATTTACGTTTCACGTCTTCGTTTCGGTATATTAATTTGAAAAGATGTTTTATGCTCATGCATTATGAAGGAGGCCTGTAATTGCTTGCGATTTCGAAACAAATCAGTAATTTGCAGCAATCTTAACTTTATCCTGCTAATAAAAAAAATACATACTCGTGAATGCGCGTCCGTTTACAGTATTGCGCAATAGGGGGATCTAGCCACTATGAAATATTATCGCGATATCCGTCTCTAACGACTCGATCGCGTGTGATTAGTATTCTCCTTGATACGTCATTCAATCGAGATCTCGTGATCGTCCATTTCTTTCCTCGTTTCCTATTTCAGTGTTTCTCCGTTGGTTCTACCCTTAGAAAACGCGCTTGTGTACAGAAAATCTCCGTAATTTGACGTTGAAAAATATATTTCGTGTGACTGGCCAACAATATGATGAATAGTTCACCGTACAATCAAATGTGATATTCATGAAATCCTAATCACATAATTTACATAGGATAGTTTAAAACTACATTAGCGAAGATTTTGCACGATTTTTTATTAGCGAGCGGCAATTGTGTAATATTCGAAGAAAGATTGAAATATTTAAAAATTAAACGCGGAAAATTGTAGAATTTTTAAAATATTTCGGAACTTAAAAATCCAAAATAATTTAATGCACTGATTTTAAAACCGGAGAAATGCAGAGCACCAAAAATTTGATGTAATTTTAATTTAAATTAATTCACTTTCACTTAAAATTTTTATTAAATTCCGCAAAAGAGCAATTCATTCACGACCGAGCGTCAAGGCGCAGTGAATCGCAAAGGCTTCTGAAGATTGAAATATTTTGTAAATACAACGCCCGAACCTCTCGGAAAGCGCACACGAGCCTTCTTCACGCCTCGCACGTTCAATGGAACACTTGACTTTCGGATTCTCTCAAACGCAGGGATTAAGATCCTCAAAAGAGTGCGGCACGACTCGCAGACTGATGCTATTTCGACATACAATGCGACCCCGGGGTGCTGCTACCTGTGCTGCGGCACGTGCCTTTCCTTTCCATAGATTTGACAAATTTTCCGATCTGGCAGGTCACCACCGACCTCCGACCCACGAAAACCGTGTTCCACAGGTGGACTCTCAAGGTGCACCAAAGCGAAGGATGTTTGCGGTCAACTTGTTTGCTTAACAGGTGGATCTATCCCAGTAACGATAATCACTCGAAAATTGTTTGCGGAACTCACTCTCGGCGAGATATCAAAGCCCTCTTGGAAGTCCCGATATGTTTCACGAAGTATGTGAACACTCTCGAAACATGAATACACGAATGTCTATAGACGCGATTGCATTTTTTCTGCTGCGGAAAAAAACGTAGCAACAGGTGAATTTAAAAACCGATTTTTAATATTGAGGATATTGAGCCATCAGTGCTGAGAGTAAAATGTATCATTTGTAGATACTATGCTATCAACATTTATCACTGCGATATACATGAGAATCAAAAGCTATCTTTTATTTTATATTAAAAAGTTTTTTTTATTTTTTGTTTAAATATTATAGATTTAAAATTGAAAATCTAACATCAGAAGTTCACGAAAACGTTGCAAAGCTGTAAACCATTGCATATGCGAAACACATTCCGTCACCAAGTTGCTCACAGAGCAGAATGTTAATAAATTTCAAAATTTTTAACCATTTTTATAAAATTCTGGATATTATTACAGGATGCTTTTTTGTTGTATTTCATAAGCATCGTGTTCGTATATTATTAATTTAACTGCAAAAAGCGAACATTGCCTATGAAAAGAATAACGTTTCAGTCATTAAAATCCTGCCGCAATGCAAATCCGATAATCTTGAAAATTATTACGAAGAGCAGAACTTTCGTCGTTTTTCAGGAATAAATTCGCAAGGAATGAAATGATTGTCACAATAAGCGAAAAATTTTATTCAGGATTCAGGATGTTTCTTACCTCACTTGTCTACCATTGAACGTTTCGAATCGTAAGTGCCGTCGGCAGGTTACACCTCCGAGTAACGAGTTCATCAATTATACGGACAGCGGATATTACGCTTACGAACGACATGGTGCAGTTTTATACTCCACTTTACCACTTTTTACATTTTACACTTCCCGCACTCTCGCAGTGATTTTTTTGCGGTCCTTTTTTTCTGCGGAATTATCGTCATTGGACAATATTATCACGATACCACGAATCTCGCTGTGTGGTCACTGTTACGTTACACCTCTAATGACCATTTGACGATCTTCATGGGCAGTGTGAATATTTGTAGCTTGAAGATTACTTGACCTCAATGTATGTTATCCGGATCGCGAATTTACGATTGCGAATGGAAATGGGGAAGATGACTCACGCGATTTAGCATACCACGTGGTTTAACACGATGCAGCACAAACTTTCCTCATTCGCTTAAACCGCATATGCACTTTGGCGTCATTGCACGCGTGTATCTTTGCGGATACAGTTACTTTTTCGACGACGGAAAATTATATTCGTCCAACGAAATCTTGATCATCTTCAAGTGTCGAACAATTTTCCCAATCTTTTTCCGATCTCTTCATGGTAGTAAATATTTTCGTGAGGCCCATCTGAAGTTTTAAGCGATGTGAAATAATGTTCCGACAGATTTTTACAAACATCTGTTAACTTGGATTCCTTCGATCTAATTCATCGTCAGCGCTTCCGAATTTCTTTTTCTTCACTGCAGCTCCACTACGTGTGTGAATAACTTTTCACGAATTCTGGAGAATTTACAAGCCGTTCTAGAAAATGATTCGGACTTTGTCTTCACACTGTGCACCAAATTGTTGACCATCTCTTATCTTTCATTCTTCTCGTAGGCTTAATTGCAGATTTTCAAAGTCGAAATTGCTCCAAACCGTTGAATCAATCAACACTAGAATAGTCGCGGGTTTTCAGTTTGATCTGCCGATTGTAGCCACCATGGTCAGAAAAAAAGGAGAGAAGGAAGAGTACAAGAAGAGAGACTGCTCAGGAAGGTCCACACTGCCTGGCGGTTTGATCGCTGAAGACTGAGCGCCGTGGTAGCGTTTCACCGCGTAGTAAGCCGGCTCTCGCCCCGCCATCAAGCTCTGTTCCTCTGCCTCTCCACGAGGCGCGTGGAAGCGAGAAAAATGAACGAAAGGAACAAGGACGGAGCGATAGGCGGCGGGAGTAAGAGGGAAGGAGAGAGCGAGCGAGAGGGATAAAGAGAGACAGAGACACCCGTCCTTTTCGACCCACTCTGATGTTCTGCGCGTCCTGAGAGCAGCATGTCCCCGTCCTCCTCGGCTACGTTCTCCGGATTCGCCCCACCAGGATCTCTCTCGTCCACCCTTCCATTGCCACCGTTTCCTCTCTCGTCGTCGCACTGTCCCACCACCAATCCTTCCACTACCCCTACGACCTTGGAGCTTTGCGTGATCGTCGCTGGACGGCACCAGCGTCCAAACTCGGCGACTGAAACACCGTTCGAGCGTGGCGGGCAACAAAGGTCCTGTCGGTTAACGCCGCTACGTGGGAGAAAACGCGCACCACTGGTTGGTGGAAGGGGTGTGGTGAGCGCGAGGGTGAGAACAGTCGGCTGCCCCTCTCGTTGCACACGGATATCCCCTACCCTTCAGTTATCCTCGCTCCTCCTCCGCCCCCACTGTGACGGCACGTGTTCCGTTTTGCTCGTGCTCGGGGTACACGCAAATCTTTCCATCTTTGTCGCGTCCGGTACGTTGCAATATCATCGGTAGGGGATCGAACGTACGCGGTGGGGAAAGATAGATCGAATTCGAGGGTGGGGAGCAGAAGGCTCCGACGTCGCCAGCATGCGTCACGCGCTATCCACGCTGCGAATATACCAAGTTTGCGAACAGGCAGATCCGTTAGTGCGAAGATAACCGAAGCTGGTTATTCTACTTGCTTCTACAAATTAAATCTGATAAAAATCGTAGGCTTCATCTTCGGAGCATAATTTATAACGTACGATTTATGATATTTATTTTATTTCTAACTGGTTTTTGTCAGCACGACTGTAAAAAGTAATTTAATTATTTGTTTACGTCGTATCGTTATCAGAGAAAAATGTGGATTAATTTGTCAAGTTTATAGTGGCTGTCTGAGACATTCAACGCGTTAAACCAAGTATTGTTAGAAAACTATCTTATCGCACGCCACTGTCATTACCGCGTAATGTTTGCCGCACATTTATTTATAACTGATAATTTGGTATCGTGGCAGAGTACAGACGCGCGCGCGTGACTGTCAACTACATAATACGCTTCAGCAGACGTTATAGTTACATCAAGGCAAAAAACATTATTTTTCGCTATTTGCTTATACTTCAGTGTCCCCATCTTGAACTTTAGCTCCGTTTCATAAAACACTTTACCGGATGATTCTCTTCAAAATAGTCTGATGATATTATAGACTATATAATCAAGTATAATTATATTATATAAAAGAGAGAGAGAGAGAGAGAGAGAGAGAGAGAGAGAGAGAGAGAGAGAGAGAGAGAGAGAGAGAGAGAGAGAGAGAGAGAGAGAGAGAGAGAGAGAGAGAGAGAGGGAGAGAGAGA